TTCAAAACTTACTTCAAATCTACAGTAAAGAAAACAATGTATGGTACTGACAAAGGAATAGGCACACCCTGTTAACGGAATACAATTAAGAGTCCAGTTGAGGCCATTTGTGACTGAAAACTAAAATAAGTCTGTTAATAGCATCCCCAGCAGCTGGGATAACAGATCTCTCCTTGAACAGGGAGTTGGATGGCATACTCCTGGATCCACTTTGCTGATGTGTATGATTCCATTAAAATTAAACATTTTTTGGTGAAGGATACCTTGGATTAAGTTAGTAAACAGGAAGCAAAAAGTGTGAAGACATCAACAATGTTTATAACTAATAATTACAAATATCTAGAGTCTACAAAGAAACCCTGTAGCAATCCCAACTGAAGAAAGATGGATAATGCATATAAACAGGTAATTTACTGGAAAGAAAATCCAAGCATGAAAAATGTGCTTAAACATAATCAGAGAAAAACAAGAGAAAATGAAAAGGAACATAACTTCATACAAGTAGATTGGCAGAAATAGGAAGGCTGGATAACATCAAGTTGGCCAGGATGTAGGATAGTGCGGTGACTGTACATCCAAATTTGTCTGAAACAGTCCTAGTTTACATTTAATGTCCATCATAATTATTAATATCTGCTTTCATTGTCAAAAGTGTCTCCATTTAGAGCATAAATCACATGATCTCCCTGGGATAGAGGAATCATCAGAGATAGCTGGTATAAATATAGACTGGTATAGCCATTTGGGAAAACAATCTGACACATTATTCAATCATATCAAGTATTTAAATAACTTATGGTGCTGAAATTTCCCCCTGGATATCTGGATTATGGTCTTCCCTGGTAATTCAGCAGTAAAGAATCTGTCTGCAATGCAGGAGATAATGCAGGAGACCCAGGTTCAATCTCTGGGTTGGGAAGATTCCCTGAAGAAGGAAATGGCAACCCACTCCAGCATTCTCACCTGGGAAATCCCATGAACAGAGGAGTCTGGAAGGCCACAGTCCATGGGGTCATAAGAGTCAGACATGACTTAGCAACTAACCAATCACCATTTGAATTATGAAATATATATATATGATATATACATATGTACATATACATGTACAAAACTCACACAAAAGTCCATAAGGAAATATCTAATAAGCTGATCTTTGTGTAGCATTATCTGTAGTGGCAAGGAGTTAGAAGCTATCTGAGAATCCACAATTGAAAGAGTAAAAAAGTAAAACATGAGGACCCATGAGGAGCAACACAAAAGGGTAAACATAAGAGCACAGATGGATATTTAAGACAATGCTGAAAGACTAGGGAAGAAGCTTGCAGCTTTACATACAGACTGAGCACAGGGCACAATCTCCAACTTTTTTGTATGGTTTATTTTTTTTACCTACTGAAGCTTGACAGATACATACACAATCAAGAACTGTGTAGCAATTATAAGCAATGGATTACATGTACACATAGCAACATAAATAGGTATTCAATATATAGTACTGAGTGAAAATGCAAGAAAGAGAGCAAGGTTTTCAACACAATGTCACTTACATGAGTCAAAAATAATTCCTTCAGAAAAACAACATGTATTTTCAAGAATACATGGAATTCTTGGTGGGAATGTAAATTGTTGCAGTCACTATGGAAGACAGTATGGAGAGCCCTTAAAAAACTAATAACAAAACTATCACAAGATACAGCAATCCCATTCCTGGGCAAATATCCAGAGAAAACTATAATTTGAAAAGACACAGGTTTTCAATGTTCATAGTAGTACGATTCACAAAAAGCCAAGACATGGAAGCAACCTAAATGTCCATCAACAAATGAATGGATAAAGAAGATGTGATACATGTATACAATGGAATATTATTCAGTCATAAAAAAGAATGAAATAATGCCATTTGCCGCAACACGGATGCAACTAGAGATCATCATACTAAGTAAAATAAGTCAGAAGGAGAAAGGCAAGTATCATATGAGATCACTTACACTGGAGTCTAATATATGATACAAATGAACCTAACTACACAACAGAAACAGACTCACAGACATAGAAAACAACAGATGGTTACCAAAGGGGAGAGGAAATGTGGGGAAGGGATAATTAGGAGTTTGGGATTTAAAAAAGAAAAAGGAAGAATATATACAAACAGAACAGTGGCCAATGACAGAGACCGGAATCTGAGTGAGATACGGGGATAAAGGAGAAGGAAGGAAGGAAAAGAGTAAGGAAGGAAGAAGGGAGGGAAGAAGGAAGGAAGGATGATAGGTGTGAGGACTTTGCACGACCCAATGATGATGCTGCGCCATGAGCTGAGTCATTTGATTAACTTAACTCTCTGCCCTCAACAGCATGAGAATCATGAAGGAATCAAGACTGTTTCCATTTCAAGCAACAGAAACTCAAATTAATTTCAGGGGGTTGGGGGAGTGATTTTTTGGCTTACATAAAAAAAGAATCCAAGGGTAAAGGTGCAGCTGAATCCAAGAGCTCAATTATGTCATCTTATGTTACTTGTCATTTGTGTTTCTCTGTATTGGTTTCTTTCAAGTATCTCCTCTTCATAACAGAGCCCTAAGAGGATGAATGATTTCACTTTAGCAGGTAAGGTAATGAGAACTTTAACTTTTTTCTTCTTCCTCACCATTCTAGACAAAATTATGAAGCTAATGTTCATTGACTCTGATTGGCCTATTCGGGTCATGTGCATTTCCTGAACCAGTCATGATAGGGTGCAAATAATTTCATAGGCCAAAATAGGTCATTCTTCCCCAGATTGTGGGGTCAGTCCCATGAAAACCTGTTACTAAAGGCAAATTCCACATACAACTCCATTAAAACAGTTCCAACACTGTCCAGTTACTAATAAAGAATTCTATAATGGCACTGCTTTTCCAGTAGAAATTTCATATCTGTGTAGATCACAGAGGTAGAGCTGGTCTCTAAAGAGAGGACAAAGAAGGTGACTCATGGCCATGTGGCTATATTTTAGGAATGCTGCAAATTCCTCTTGCCTAAAATATCTTCCCCATCTGCCAACCACAGTCTTAAATTCCAGTTCCACTACTGAGACTCATTGTTTGGGGCCTGTAACATGGACCCTCCAAGATGCTTTGGAAATACATGTAAATACCTCTTAGCATGTATCAGCTTTTAACACTTTGTATTGATTACCTTACCACACTGATGATGACAGGGAAGAGTCTAAATGGGCTAAAATGTCAGAAAGGGCAGATCTGGAACTGTGGGATCAGGGTGATAGGCAAAAGTGAGAAGGGTAGAAAGGGACAGGATGCTTGAGACACAGCCTGACTACAATTTTTCTTGGTAACAACTTTACTGTGTGTCAGAAAGAGCATCCAACGAGAGGATGTTTGGGAGTCTAGTCCCTTCCCCTAACAAGACAAGTCCCATGTTGGAGACCTAGCTGTAGAAGAGCCCCTGGCCTGTGTCTGCTGAGAGAGGTGAGATTGTTTAAATAGAAGATGCTCAACGGAAAGAACCTTGGACTCTAAGAAGCTTATTGATATATTTCTAGCTTTTAATAGTTAAACAAAGATGTTGCCAGAACGTTTGTTGATCTCTTCTATTGACTCTATTGACATGAAAGTGCCAGTTCCTAAATGATATTTTGCTTTGTCTTATTTCCAGCCAGTTCAGTAGCAGTGATAAAGCAATACTCCAGAGCTCGCTTCCCACATTATTTGGGACAAGTTTTTTTCCCTGGTGGCTCAGCGGTAAGCAATCCACCTGCCAGGGCAGGAGACTTGGGTTCAGTCCCTGGTCCGGAAGATCCCTTGGAGGCAGAAACGGCAACCCACTTCAGCATTCTTGCCTGGGAAATCTCATGGGCAGAGAAGGCTGGCAGACTACAGTCCTTGAGGTGGCAAGAGTCAGACATGACTTAGTGACTAGACAACATTTTCCTTCTTTAGAGTATCCCAAACTTGAACTCTTCATTACTAAGTTTCTTATCTCACCAGGCCCCATCTTGCCAAAAGGAATTGTAACAATGCATAACAATAAAAATCTGGCCCAAAGTTTAGTAAGTAGATGGGGAGTCGGGGAGGGAAGGGAGGGAGGAAAGGGAACTTAAACTATCAGCAGTGGTTATCTCAAGGATGGGAACTGTGATGTAGGTGAAGGTAGTGAGAAATAAAAGTTACATTTTATTTCATATATTTTATTATTGCTTGACTTTTGTTTACAGTAATCATGTATTCAAGGATCCTTTTAATAATTTAGAATTTAGTTAAATTTGCACTTGATTCTACTAACTGAAACTTGTTCTCACATTTAGGATTAAACTTGAGAGAGGCAGGGCTAACTCTGTGGCCTAGATAAATGCTGACCTCACAGAGAACAAGAGTATACTATAAATGTCCCCACTGTCTGAATTAAGCTTAAGAATAATGCTCAAATTACAAGACACCAAGTTTGAATAAAAATGCAAAATATTCCAATTCTTTGTTACATCTACTTTTTCCTTTTTTCAAGAAGAATGAACTACTGCTGTTCTTGAGAGCATCATAAAGATACAGGTCGTTTATGCTGCTACCCTGTATGGGTTTCAGTTGGTAATAAATGGTTTTCTGAGAGGTTTGAGTTAAAGCTCTTATGTAAATAGAGAGAGGCTTACATAATGCTCTTTAAACTAGAACTTTGAAGACAATCTGCAGTAGGCATATGAGATCTGTCTGTGCAGCAAATGGCATCTGAAAACTATCAGGAAGCCATCCAAGATTTGGTTCAAGGAAACAGGAAGAATAAACACCCACGGTGCAAGCTCCTGATCAATCGTTTAGCCAAACCTCAGCCACAACCAAACAGACAATGTGTAAGAGATGTGCCTTAGGTTTATAGTAGTGCTACTAAGCCAAAGTATATTTCAGCAGCGCTCTTGAGCACGGTTCATTGTCAATTTCTACGTAAAATTCTCCAGGGGTTGGAGCCATGCCTTCGGCCGGGCCATTTCCCTCCCTGTAATGTTAGACAGTGCATCATCTCACGGAAGAGGCTAAACTGGTATTGATTTTCCAATTTTTAAAAGGAGTAACCGTTTCCAGCAAAGGCACGCTGGGGGCGGGAGGTGGGGGAGAGGGGTGGTCTGCGTAAAGGAGAAACACTTCAAACTGAAAGCGCTGCCGAGAAGGGAGGAGGGACGCTGCGGTGAGCCAGCGGCGGCTTCTCTCTGCCCAAGTATCCGGGCTGCGAAGTTCTGGCCACGACAGCTGCGACGCTCTCTTCGGCGGACCTGCCTCGAGAGTTGTTTCTGTGCCAAGGGAGAGAGATTTCTGTACTTCGCAGGGAGGCGGGACGCACCCTCTTCCGACCGTTTCCACTGTCGCCTCACCTCGGTTACTCGCGTCCTTACGCCCTCTGTTCGGAACCCCATCCTTGAACAGCCGGGAGGGAAAGCCCGGGGAGGCGGAGCGCGCGCGCTGGGTTTCAAACTCGGCCGAACTTTGCTGAAGCCCTGGGTCTTCACCCGGCTCCGTGCAGACGTACCTCCCGACTTCCCAGTCCTACAGCCCCGGGGCCCAGAGAGACGGTGCTCTCTAACTTTCGGGCTCATTCCAATCCTGAGATCGGATTGCACCCGGAGTTCGGGGTCGCGAAGTAACTGCTGCGGCCGAGCGAGCCCGGGGGGTCGGAGGGCGGGCGGGCGGAGGAAGCCGCCGGGCCTGGAGCCCCGGGAAGTGTCCCGCCCGGCTCGGCCCGGGATGAGCCCCTCTCCGCCGGCCCCTTCCTCACCCCTCCGCTCCCGCCTCCCCCCGCCCCACCCGGTCCCGGGGCTCCGCGGGAAGGGGACCCCGCAGGCAGAGCCCCCAGCGGCCGGCAGCTGCTGACTGCCCTGACACCTCTTTCCCCTGCCACGTAGACACATTGAGAACTGCGTAGACTCGCGCTCCCGCACCTGCCCTTTCCCCAGAAGCCTGAAAGTGGCTGAATGGAAACAGTGACACGTGAAAACTCTATTCTGAGTGACTTAGCGTCCGCCGCCTTGAGGTTTTAATCTTGCTCTGCTCGTCCCGCCCGGCGCTCGGGGCAGCTGTCCGCAAGGTCCCGGAGTTCTTTACTGTCCCGGGGGAAGGTGAGACGAGGAGGATGGGGAGGGCGGAGAAGGAAACATGAGAGGTCTGGGGCCACTTGGAATATACAAGAGGATATCCTAATCCCAGGAATTTAGGTCCCCTGCATTGTTTCCAAGCCAACTGCACAGAGCAGCTTTTTCCGGAGCCCTGGGACCCCCAAGTCACGTCTTACGAACCGAGAGAACAGGCGCGCGCGCCCCCACTGACCATCTGTCCTGGAGGTGGAGCCGGTGGCCGTATTGTTCACTCTCCCCCTGCCCCTGCATCAGCAACAGGTATTAAAGTACCGAGACCCACGCAGCATCTGGTCCTCCTCCCCCGCCACCTTGTGGCCGACGCCCGGCCCTGTGTTGCCCCAGACAGGGTAAGACAGGGTCTCAGGGTCACTTGTGGCCAACAAGGGGTGAGATTTCAAAATGTCAGGGCACTGCTGGGGAGACGGCGGACAAGCCTCTTGTCCAACCTCTTCTCGAAGGAACTGAGTGCCCTTGTCTTGGCCTTTGCCTGTTTCCCACCTAAGAAAACCTTTTTTCTTTTGCATATACAACATCGAGGGTCTCTCGCGTCCCTGCAATTCTAGCTTTGACGCTTCTTCTGAAAAGGGTTCGCGGCGGTGCATTTTGGCTGGACTTCCCTTCCTTCCGCTTCCCCGCAGGGATCTTACTGCCTAGTTTTCTCAGCCTGAGACAATGACCAGTGACCCAGGTTTTCTCCAGTTGATACGGGTCCCTCTGGCGTTCCAGGTCTACTTGAGGACCGCCCATCAAGCTCCTTGCTGTCCAACTACCACCGTCTGTACAGGGTGGAGGAGATGCCCTCTCTAAAATACGACCTCTTCCAGCCTGAGGGCTCTTCCCCATGAAGCCAACGGAAAGAAGCAACGGAAAGCAGCGGAGCGGGTGGCTGGACACCGCAAACTTTGACCTCAGAGAAGGAAAACCTTCCACTACTGACTCTCACCACCTTGCATTGTATTCCTGAAACCCAGGGATGAAAATGGAAATTGTTTGATGTATGAGGAGACGTTATCTAATTAGGGCATAAGAAATTTAATCTTTCCAGCATGCAGGTCATATAATTAATGTTAATTTAACGCTCAAATTCTCAGTCATTAATTTTTATTCTCTTAGATGCAGTTTGGCAGGGGCCCCTGATCCATGGCAATGGATTTTGCTGGCTGTGAGAGTACACTTGGGCTTAGGAGTGACTCACCGCAGACCTTCCCATCCCAGTAACAAGATCGCATCATGTATGCATTATTAAGCCACGTAATTGAACGGTCCATAGTTTGCATATCAGACTATTAAAATAATGTGTTTTGCTTTTCTCCGAACACGAATTGTTCAAGCCTCTGCGAATATGTGGCGATTCTGATAATTATCACCAAATTACTGCAAATGTTCTCTTCATTAACATGATTTCTTTCAAGCATTTTTTAAAATGTGAATATTATTATGAATTAAAGAACTTCTTATAAAGTTGTCTCAACTTTTTTTTTTTTTCCAAAGAGACTTGTCACTTGGAAGGAAAGGATATAATTTAAGTCGGGAAGGGAGAGAACTTCTCTTGTTATGCTTTTCAAATGGCTTCCTCCAGTCACATAAAAGTTTTCTCTCTGGATTTTCAGACAGTTTCTAGGCAAGAGGCAGACAGAGAGAAGAAAGAGAAGGTAAAAGTCACAAAAGAGTAAGAGAGTTGATTTTTTTTTACGTTTTTACTATCTGATTCCCTCCTGGCATAGATAACTTGTCCCCACAAACAAAATCATAACTTTTTTGCCATGCCCAGAGTAAACGAATATTCTCCCCTTTAAAAAATACCAACTCAAAATTTTCTAAAACTAACAGATCGTAATCAACTAAACAATGCTGCTTTCCCCTAGTTGTCCTAAGCTTTGTGGTTGGAGAAATTATAAGCCAAATCTTAAGGAGCCTTTATTGTAACCCTCCCTTCACACACTGTGTTCAAAGTTGAATAGTAAGATATTAAGAAAAACAGAAAAGGAAGAGAGAACACTATTGCAAAATAAGAGTCTCTTTTAAATGTAAGAAATTTGCATCTACACGTCTTTCCAGTAACATTTCCCTTTGGGTGATTTTTAAACTCAGAACAAACTGCTCTTTCTGCCTCTGGTGTCACCGCTCCGTCTCGGTACAGCGTCGCTGTCGCGCGCAGGTCTCTCTCCTCCGACGGCGCTTCCAGCGCGGAGACGCTCCCACCAGTCTAAGCCAGAAGGGGGTTCCACCCATCGAAACGTCTCTCGAGTTTGAGAGTAATGTAAGAGTTTTCTTAAATAAAATGTGGCAGAGAAAGTGTAGGGGGAGAGAGAGAGAGGCGCACCCGCCCGCTCCAGCAGTAACCTGCTTGGCTGTTCCCTGCTGGGCTGGATACCCCCTCCCCTCGTTCGGTGCCCGGATCCTCCCTGCCCCTCTTCTCGAGCCCGCTGTCAGCTCTCCGGGGAAGGGGTGCCAGGCCCCGGGCGGCACTTTTATTTTGGCTGAGAGGAGGGAACGCTGCTCCCAGGCCCGAGGGAGGCGAACTGAGCCCTTCTGTTTGGATTTCCCTCCTCGCTATAGCAACCAGCAGCCTCCGGACAAAAATGCGCCCTCCCTGGACAATGGCCGGGCCTCCCGCTTCTCGCCCTCGCCTTCCTCCCCCGGATCGCAGCCAGGACCTGCCTAGGAGCTCAGTGGCTCTGTGGCCGGGAACGCCCCCACCCCCAGCCGCGGCGTTCCCTAGCGGTTCCCCCGGGAGGTCAGGCCGGGGCGCCCGGACGCCGCCGCCCGTTCTCCCTACACGGGCTTACTCCCCACGCAGGCCGAGGCCCGGACACACTGCCTCCCGGCGGAGTACGCGCGATCCCACCGCGGAGTTTTCCGCGAGATGGTGTGGGTGGTTGGATGGCCCTGAGGGGCACAAACTCCAGCTTTTTTCAGTGTCTTTTTTTTTTTAAAGGTTAGTATAATATACGAAGCAGACTACTCCTCCACCCCGCACATTCACGTAAATATAAGCATCCTGAACCACGGACCTAGGTTTGATCTCTGACTTTGTTTCACTCTCCCAAGGTTAATTAAGTTCCTGTCCACGAGCTCCTCGCCTATTCATTATTCTCTCCCTCTGACCTAGGGCGTCAATATGATCAGGCCTGTGACTCTGCCTGTCCTGTTTTCCTATTTTTTGCATTTAATGCTGGGACCCAGCTGCCCCAGATTACCATCAAAACTCTCAGCAAAGACCAGAGGGGTGAGATGGTCTCGTTGCTCCAAACTACGGCTCCTTTTTTCTGAGTCGTCTTCCAGACAATGCCAGCCTCTGCATTCCCAAGACCCACATTCTGGAAACCAGCCTTTTAAAAAATAGTCATCTCTAGCTTCACTAAGCCCCAAAGTGCCTAGAATGACAGTTTTGAAACTCAGAGATCTAGAAGAAGGTCCCAGTCCACAGCTATTATCGCTGTGGTCAACTGTACACAAGAAAAACTTCGCTCAATGCACCAGGACACCAATAGGACTTGGTGCATTGCATTCTTACACTTCAGCAGGGATTTGTATTCATACTCTGTCCAACCAGAATAAGAAAAATGAAGTCCGACTTCAACCAAATGCAGCCTTGTTTCCCCCAGTGATGGAAGTCCAGCCCTACATCTTGGACACATCACCTATAAAATAGCTGAGGATACTCTTCCCCTGCACCTGTGCACAGGTGTGGGGGGTGCTCCTGGCCCCTCCTTCTGCTTCTCAGACTGTGCCCCAGAAGATAAGAAAGAGAAAGGACTGTGGCAAGAACTTCATCTCAGTACATCTCCATAAGCTTTGAAGCAAAGGAGGTTTCTGTTGAAATTAATTTATTAAAAAGTTGTCATTTCCTCCTGCTTTTTTAGGGCAAGGGAAAAGGGTGGGAAACACCTTCAGGTTTCATTGTTAGGAAGTCATTGAATGTTAGTCCTTTGAAAAGGAAATTTCAGAAAGGAAACTAGGAGCCACCAATCCCCTCATGTTGTGTTCCTGCTATTTCAGTATAAACAAGCTGTATTAATGCCAAATAGAATTTGCCTTGTACACTGATGGAATGTGTTCTTTATGCTTTTACCCCTGTAAGGCCTCATATTCACCACTCAAAATTTAGCAGACTTCCTTTGATAAATTACTCAAAGTAATCCTTGAAATAGCTAGACTGCCTGGGTGATATGGTTTTAGAAGTCTTCAAGCCGTGCCTGTCTATAAAATATTCACTTGTGGACTACAAAGGGGGGGGTCACTTTTAATGATGAGATTCAGAACTTGAAGAAAAGGAGAAACAGATTAATATCCACAAATTCAAATAATTTCATTTTAAAATACTGAACTTAGAACATTACATCTTACTGGTTTACACAGTAGTAAAGATAAAATAGAATCATCTGTATGTGAGACATGGACAAACACAGATTTGTCAAGAATATGAAGAATGGGAGTTTCAACTTTCAGAAAACTTTTCCTTCTTCAAAACCGTTTATGATATGGAGACGGATGCACATTTCGAAACTTGTAAAATGTATATATAGACAATAACATATAAATCTATGTGGAATTTTTTTCATCAGGGAGGCATTGTGCTGCATAATTAAAGATATTAATGTCTGTTCTTTTTTAAAGTAAATGTTTATTGTGTCTCACAAGAACTGGCAGCTTGGAAATGCATTTTCCTTGCTTCTTACAAATGCATTTCTAAGCCTGTAAGTCTTCAAGCTCTAAGGAGGTTTTCATTAAAGGAGCCAGCTGCCTCTTTGTGTGGATTGGCTGTTTAAAGCTGAAGCTCTGAAGTGGGAACCTCAGTTTTGACATTCTGTAGGCCCTTAGCAAAGAAGTTCCATTTAAATGTGGGGAAGCTCTCAAACAGCTCCTGGAGATTAACAGAAGAGCAGAAAGTACAGGAAAAAATGACTGGGATAAGGGAGAAAAGAGAGAGAGAGAAGGGACTTGGAATCCTCCTCCAAGGTGGATATATTAAAAAGGAAATCCCAGTAGGCAATTTTACCCAAGTTTAAACCAGCTGCCACCTTGGAAGAAAATTCCCTTTGTTTCCTGATTTCCATTATCATGGAACTATTAAAACATCAATAAGAAGTAAATTAAGATCTATCAAATGAATAAATACCATCTCACCTCTATTTTAATAACTGCATCCCTTCAGCTCAATGTTTAGGAGTGATTATGGTGGTTTTTCTGCCAAGACCTGGTATGGAGAAATACAATAAATGATATTTTACATACGGTGTGTGTTTACTAGATGAAGTTAAAATTGAGTTCATATTAGAGTGTACAGGTTGATATCATTACTGTTACTCATGTGAAGACTTTGGAAGACTCTGGTCAAGGTGCTGGGCACTACTAAGACCCAGGTCTGGCTCACGCTTTTGAGAAGTGTGACAATGTGGGGATAAATACGTCTTTTTGGTTTAGCTCGGATTCTCTGAGTTATTTTCTCTCCAAGCAGTGCAGTACGAAGTCCGCACCAATTCCTCAGACCAGTCTAGGTCAGGATACCGACTCAGCAGAGCCCTTGCTGGGACCTAGAGGACGGGGATGGGCTGGCGAGGTTGCTCAGGACGCCTGGAGCCTGTTCTCGTGAAGGGGGCCCGGGGGACCCAGCAGTCAGCCAAAGAGGCTGTGAGGCCTGCGTGAACCGCTTGCTCAGCCATTGTCCTAGCCAGTGATCTCGGGGAACTGTACTGGAGTGAGGGAGATAGCAAGACACCTTGTCAGTTCAAAGCATTTTAGGTTTGTTTGAAATCCTCTCCACGTCAACGTAAGCAGCCTCTGTATTTGAACAGTGCTTTGAACAGTGAAAGGGAATGAGCTGAATCAAAACCTGGAGGTGTCTCCCCGAGACACTTTCAACGTGCTTTTATGAGGGTGGAGAAAGGCAGGGAGACGCGTGGACTCTGCTCCGGCGATGTCGGCCGCAAAGAAAGGCGCCCACGACGGTAGGAGGAAGGGAAGGGAGGACCACAAAGCCCCTCATCGGGGGTCTACAACCTCTGAGGTTCCTGGAGCCCCAGGAAGGGGCCTCGCCGGGAGGCAGACTGGAAGCCGAGGTACTCGGGACCCGGCGTTCGCGCCAACCGGGCCTCGGGCGGCAGGCGGAGAGGCGGGGGCGGCGCGGGGGAGGTGGTACCCAGAGCCCGTGTGCGCGCCCAGCCCAGCCCGCCCGGTGATTGGCCAGGCTGCGGGGTGGGGGTGGGGTGGGAGGCTGAGGCCGGGGGCAGGGCAGTGCTTTGTGTACTCCCGGGGATTTATTGGGTGCATTAATCGAGTAGAACCACCCGGCTCACCCAGTTGGGAATGTTTCGGCTCCGTTGCCTGCCAGCGAAATGAAGCGAAGGTGGGGGGAGGGGGTGGAGTGGAGACCTGGGACGTCAGCACGGGATGAATCTCCGAGCAGTCATCGTCAGTAAAGTCCCACTGCAGACAGGAAGTTTGGATGTACACACGCAGCCTATTCTTGCTCCCCCACCCCAAAACCCCAGCGCCCAAAGCCTGAAACTGGGGGAAGGGAGGCAGAAGGAGAGGAGGGTGTTGGGGGGGGGGGGGGATTTTAAACTGACTCCGAGTCTGGCCGCCTCGGTTCCCTCGGAGATTGGAAACGCTTTTCTTCCCTCGAGTGTTTCACCCCCACCGGCTGCAAAGGGCCTTGTCCCTAGAGAAATGAGAAATCAAATCCAGAGAAAAGCAGACACCTGCCCCGGAAGGGGGAGGGGGCGAGATGTTCAGCATCCGGA